TATTTATTCATTTGAGACACAGAGATAGAGAGAGAGAGAGAGAGCACGAGCAGGGAGAGAGGCAGAGGGAGAAGGAGAAGCAGGCCCCCCGCTGAGCCAGGAGCCCGATGTGGGGCTCGATCCCAGGACTCTGGGATCATGACCTGAGCCGAAGGCAGACGCTTAACCATCTGAGCCACCCAGGCGCCCCAGCTCCCAATTTCTAGTTCATTATTGTTATACTTCCTGTCTCTGAGTTTACATTTTGGTCATGCATAGTTTTCCTGATACCACTTAGTTACCTGTTTTCTCTTCTTCCTCCATGAGCATCTTTATGATGGTTATTAGAATTCTTTGTCAGGCAATTAATTGTTTGTTGACAATTAATAATTCTTATTAACTTAGGGCCAGTTTTGGAGATTTATTTCATTCCTCTGATTGGAACACATATTTCTATTTCTTTGTATGCCTTGTGAACTTCTGTTGATACTTGGGAATTTAAAAAACAGCCTGTGGGCCCAGAATTATGGACTTGCTTTCTTTTTTTTTTTTTTAAGATTTTATTCATTTATTCATGAGAGACAGAGAGAGAGAGAGGCAGAGGGAGAAGCAGGCTTCCTGCGGAGCAAGGAGCCCGATGCGGGGCTCGATCCCAGGACCCTGAGATCATGACCTGAGCCGAAGGCAGACGCTTAACGACTGAGCCCCTCAGGCGCCCGGACTTGCTTTCTTTAGGAGTACACAAATAATAGTAATTCTGGGGCCTGTCACGCATGTTCTGGGCATTTGTCTTGTCTGAGTTTTCGTAATTTCCCAGTTTAAGAAAGTGGGGTTACTTCTTTAGAACGCATGATACCTTCCTCTCTCTGTCTTCAGCTCTGGAGTCTCTTCATTATTTGAACAAAGGCTCACCGTTTGTCTGAGCAGCCAGCACACTGCATCAAGAGAGTGCTCTCATTCCCTCTGTGTCCCATGTCAGGCATGACAGAAGCAAGTCCCATAGGCAGCTAAAAAGAATCCAGATCATGACCATATAGGCAACTCATTTGTTCTCTCCTGAGGAGAGGTAAGAGTTTTCTCACTGTGTTGCCATCGAGTGTCGGGGGAGGTGAGCCACTGTTTTGGACAAGTGTCACAAACTTGCCTGTCTCTTTGATGAGGCTCTTCCTCTGTACTTGCCTGGGGGTGCTGTGTTCTCTTAACTGGCTTCTGGAACATTCTAAAAGGTAATTTAGTCTATTTTTGTCTCCATGGGGGTGCAAAGTCCTGATGCTTCCTATTTCTCCATTCTGTTGCTGTCCTAGGATGGGTATTAATTTTGCACATTAGCATTTTAACATATATACATATATGTGAGTTCAGTAAGTGGGATAGCTTATTTTAAATCTTTTAGTTGTGTCTTTCCATAACACCTTAAGCTTGTTGGTAAAGACAAGCAAAGAAGATTCATTCCATGGAACGATATGGGAAGATGTGGAAGCAATGGTTCTGAGTATTTATACTTAATGAATGACTGGGAAGGTGATGGGGGGGTAGTGAAGGGCAGGAAGGATGTCATAATAGATATAACCAAACTGGGACAAATACCCATCATGAAATTTTTACTGCCAGAAGAGATAAAGGATATAAAGCAATTGGGGGAGAACCCCACCTTAAGTCAGTTATGTTTGCAGAACAATGTCTTTGAATGCAAGGACCCAAATCCATTTTTTAAACATACAGATTTTCTGAAAGGACATTTGTTAATTATGGAAAGTCACCTAGCCCATGCTGAAAGTTATCATTCAAACCATTTCAAATATAAAATTGGATTAATCAAGCAATCAAATATTTCTGAAAGTTAGACACTTAAAAATGAAGAATTCTAAATGTGATGTCAACCCTCTGTGATAAAATTTGTTACATCTCATGGGCTAAAAATAAATGTTTCCCTATGTACATATGCATATGTTTATATATGTGAGTCCATGAAATACATTATTGAAATCATGTACATTTAGACACGATCGGGTGTGTTCAGGGTGGTATGGCCATAGACGAAATCATGTACATTTAGATCTTGAAAAATAACACTACTAATAATAGTGACAAACTCCCTTAGTTTTTTTTTTTAAGATTTTATTTATTTGACAGAGAGAGACACAGTGAGAGAGGGAACACAAGCAGGGGGAGTGGGAGAGGGGGAAGCAGGCTTCCCGCTGAGCAGGGAGTCCGATGCGGGGCTCGATCCAGGGACTCCAGGATCATGACCTGAGCCGAAGGCAGTCGCTTAACCAACTGAGCCACCCAGGCGCCCCTCCTATATGCATTTTAAGAAAATAATTCTACATTCCCTTCTTTTTTCTGTGAACATTGTCTACTCAGTACCATATTGCTTTAGCTAGAAATTAAAGCATGCTTTGAAAATCTGGTCCTTCCTACGTTTAATTTCACCTTGTCAGTATATGTCTTTATGACACTTTTCACATACATCTATTTCTTTGCTTTTGAGTATTTTTTTTTAGTTTGATTTTCTTTTTTTTATTTATTT